CATTATCACATTTTCTTTGTGGCAAAGATCATAGGGTGGGCCCATGGAAACATTATTAATTAAACTGTAATAAAGTGATGTGAATTATTTATTGTAACAGTGACTAAGCTCTGGAATGCAGGTCGAGGTTGAAACAGGTCGAAATCACCAAAATCAAAGGAGTTCCTTTTGAATGCTTTCCAGCAATGCCAAAACATATCAAATACTACTTGAGGGCCACACATGTTGACATGTTTACTGTCCTGTATTAGTAATTTTGAATGCATTTCTCCCTTTATATTCATAAAATGTACCCACTCTAATCACCTTTACCCTCTCTTATCCCCACACACACCTTTTGTCCCTGTTAAATCCTGCCCTTCCCAGCCCCTCACCTCTCTGTCTCTAGCAGACTCCAGGCTCAAGAGTGATCTCACCATCGTTCTCAATGCTTTGGGCAGCAACTCCACGCTCACAAGGCTTGACATCAGTGGGAATGCAATGGGTGACATGGGGGCCAAAATGCTGGCTAAGGCGTTACAGATCAACTCCAAACTCAGGTAGCTGTGCAGGGCTCAAAGCTTTAAAACTGCTTGTTTCATAAGCTGAGGGGCTTCTAAGAGTTCCAGTATAAAAGCAAACAAACTGTGATTTATGCAAAACTTGTTTAGTAGCATCTAATAATAAAGATATGGAGCTGGATATAGATCCACATTAACCCTAGAAGACTAATGTGCAGTTTTGTAACACGATCAGTAACATGATATACCCGATGAAACATATGTACTTTTCTCTTATTCCTCCTTATTCAGGATCTCATAAAATAAATAAAGGTATCATGGGGGTACCCTATAAATAGGCTCTAAATTTAGTGGAAAATTAGGGAATTATTAACAACAAAATTCCTTAAAAAACTGAAAAGTACGGAGTCCCTCTGATGACATGGTCCAAACAATAAACAAATTGTGGCCACAAAATACTACTTCGTCCCGTCGAAATAGTATAACATGCCCACGAAATACTATTTTGAGGGCACGAAATGGGTATAACGTGGCAACGAATTACGCATTTGTGGCAACGAAATAGATAACGTGCGCACATCATATTGATACAATTCCTGGACAGCTGTGTAGCATAAGATTAGCCTATACCTATACACCATGGACAGAGACAGTATGAATGAGTTTTATTTTAGGCTGGGAATGAGCTACAAATGCAATGCAAGGAACCATTATTACGGAGAGACATTTAAACAGGATATTGAGAGCCAAGTTGCTTTACAGACGTAAATGCGACCTGGACGCCGGGATAGATTTTATTGTCAACCAACTGCAAGGGCCTGGGAAGGATCATGGTTATCGGTCAAGTGTTTCGTGCCCACAAATTAGCATTTCATGCGCACGTTATACCTATTTCATGCCCTCGAAATAGTATTTTGTGGGCATGTTATACCCATTTTGTGCCCACGAAGTAGCATTTTGTGGCCACAATTTATTTATTTTTTGGACAATGTCATCAGAAGGGCTCCGTAGAAAAGGACAATGGAATTGGGAATGTCCTCACTTCTAGGGCCACCCATTCCTGGCACATGTAAAACTTGGGGGCACGATCTCCCTGCATCAATGACATTTTGTCATGGAGGAAAAATGACCAAATGACTATAATTTATTTATTTATTTATTTTTTTGACTACATGAATTCCCCTGGAAATAACCACAAAGTGGTATTTATTCATCGCGTGGGTGAAAATCACCTGACATTGGTGTTCTAGGATTA